GCAGCAAATACATCATGCTTTTGCTTTCGGACAGAACAATCTCGAGCAAGCAGCAGTAAGTAACAAAACTTATTATGATCTCAAAACCATCAAGAAGGAGTATGAAACAGGTGATAAAGTGTATTTAAGTGTATTTTCATGGAAATGTCCATATAATATCATGGACAAAATCTCACCTGTGGTTTACAAAATAAGAAGAGTCAAGAATAATGATTTTGTGGATAAATGGGTTCATATTAATTAATTGCGTGCTTGTCATCCTAGGTCTCAACTGAGAATACTGGAAGTTAACGCAGAAGAAGAAACCTAATAATTATCTCAAGAGAATGCGAATATAATGATTTAACATTGTGATCATTCTCTCTCAACATCCAGATATTCATATCTTGAGCTTCTCCGCATTATTATTGGTCCTGCCAATCATAGCAGAATACCATAATCGTGAAAATTATCGAATAATTTTTAGTTAACTAGAGAATAGTTATCCAGTTGCTAAATAAATTAATATATATCATAACTAGAAATGTAAATATCAATTGATAAGAATATGTATTCATACTATCTGTTTCTTTAATAGAAAAAGATTGATGGTCCAAACCAGATTGTTATCTGGTAAAGATGTTGATGACTACCAAAGACACAGCAACCATTTGGATGATGTGATCCTTGGTGCCCAGTTCGGGACGAAACCCATTTATCGAACCAGGTCCATCATCAGGAGTCATGCTGCAGGATGATCCAGGATTCCTACTGATGGAAGAATATTATCCTAGGAGATCTTGGCGAGTTCAGATCCAAAGATATCTACCGAAAAGGAAATTTAACCTATCCCATTTTTTTTTTTACTTGGGATGCATGGATGTTATGTTGTCCATGTAAACAAAGCTTTCCATATCAGGAGACCACTGATGATTCATCTGATGTCCTGAAGTGAACAACCAGTTTCATCACTTTCCTAATTGCAAACCTTGCTTTTATCATGTTGGCTACACCCACTTTGGCAATTCATTTCATGTTCATAAAATATTATAGGCCAAGGTGGGGAATTCAACGGAAACCTTTGAGTTTTTTTTTTCTTATCCAGGACAGAGACCAAGAAGAAAGGCCACATCTTCTGGTGAACATGACGTTTATTCCGAATTTTTCCCAGATATGTCTAAGGTTGTTAATCTGAATACCATGGGAAAAAAGGGGGGGATATGTCGGAACTATTTGGGGCTAAAAATAATTAAACTATAAGGCCTATACATATTATTCTACATAATGTAATATGGGCATCCTGGAAGCCATCTTTGTTCTTTATACTCTGTCAGTATATAAGGTGAATTTGAATTCATAGTTTCTGGACAAAAACTCTAACATCAGCGATTCTCAGAGCCTTACCACATATATTCCCAGGTTGTAAATTGTGGAAAAATATTAAATAGTTGTTCTTGCTCAGACTTTATCAAGATATACATCTCTTAAAGAGACAGTAAGCCGGACATGTTCTGCCAAAGATCAGAACGCCCTGTTAAATTTGATGGTTTCGTTCAAGGCTTAGGTCTAAGGTCATCTCAGGGAATAATATTGAAATTTTAAGGAAAAATCCCAAATTATTCCTAGTCCAACATAGCCCTCTTCAGGCAGGTAATTGTGTATACGAGTTCAGGAATTGGGGGTATTTTTTTTTTTAGAAAAGTGATACTTTCCTGATGTCATAATTAGGTTGCGATAAGCTTTCTCCTCCCACATTTTTGGGTGATAAAAGTTAGGAGAAATTTAAGAGTGAGAGACTGAAAAAAGGAAAGAATCTACAGGAGGACGGACACAGAAAAGAGAGTTCTGAAGCTGATGGACTGGCTGCCAGGGGGAACTGAACCAAAGAGAACATGACCATCTCTTGTTACTACACTGACACAAAGCTGACATCTCTAAGACAAAATCATTTTAGATTTTTGGTAAAGTTTAGATTTCTATTTATCTGTAAGCAATTGACTAGCCATATATATCTTAATAAACCATTTGGTAATTGTTAGCATCAGGATTGAATTGGAGTAAGATTTTATCTGCAGTAAAAATTGTCTCCCTTTCAATCTTGGGTCTCTTCAAAGCTGATTTCAGTTTCTAGTCGATGGTCTAGCTGTGATATAGACATAAAATAAAATAACTTAATGGAAGTTTGTCTTTACCTCAAATAGATTCTTGGCTGATTAGCCAGTCCTTTTGAACATCTGTTTGGCTGGGAGAAGTCACGTGTTGAATCTGCACATTATTTTGTCACATTCTGCTGAGCTACTGAGAAGTTACTAACTGTATTCCAAGATACATTGTTTTGTTTTATTAATATTTGAAATAATATCCTGTGGTTTTATTTTTATTATCATCTTGCTAATCAACATTATCGCAATTTTGATCCATATTCTTTATTGTCACCAGTTATATTTTGTTTATTATTTAGCACTGTTTTTAGTTAATAAATTATATATATTTTTGCATATTATTGTTTTTATTTCGTCTTCAAGCTAGCGCAAATAAAGAACTCGAGTTATCAGTTGATTTGTGAAAATAAGTTGGGAACATAGAAATAGCTGGGAGGGAGGGCAATGTAGTCGTGATGGGCGACTTCAATTACCCGGACATAAATTGGGCTAATGGAACCTCAAGTTCAACAAAGGCGGGACACTTTCTGAACATGTGGTGAGACAATTTTATGGACCAGATGGTGGAGGTCCCAACTAGGAAAAATGCCATCCTAGATTTAATCATCACTAATAATGCAGAATTAATTGAGGATATTGTAATTGGGGAGGCACTGGGCAATAGTGATCACAATATGATTACTTTCAATATTCAATACAGGAAAGGGAAGCGAGCTGGTAGGGCAAGAACCCTTAATTTCAGAAGGGCTAACTTTGATAAACTGCGACATCCAGTGGGGGACATCAAATGGGAAAATTTATTTCGCAAACTGAACTCGGACCAAAAGTAAGAATGTTTTAAAAGCACATTACATATTGCCATTGCCAAATGTATACCATTGGGTAATACAAGTAAAAGATCGCAAACAAAGCCTGTATGGCTGAATAAAAATGTAAAGCATCACATAAAGGAAAAGCGAGTGGCATTTATAAAATATAAGATGGAGGGGACAGCATTGGCGTTCCATAACTACAAAGAATGTAATAAAAAATGTAAACTAGTAATACGGGGAGCTAAAATATAGTGCGAAAAGCATATTGCCACAGATAGTTAAAAAAAAAAAATATATTTTTACCAATACATAAACAGTAAAAAGGGGAGAAAGGAGCAGATAGGCCCAATAAAGGACAAACGCGGGAAGATAGTCACAAATGACAAGGAGAGGGCCGAAGTGCTGAACACTTTTTTCTCCTCAGTATACACTCAGGAGGGAAACAGGTTTGACGTGCATGATAAAAACACATAGTTCATCACAAAATATAGCCAAGTGGTCGACGGAACCCGGGATACAACAAATACTTAATCTACTTAATGCAAATAAAGCATTGGGACCAGATACTGTAACCTGCACCCCAAGATACTAAAGGAACTAAGCGAGGTTATAACAAGACCATTATTCTTCATTTTTAAGGACTCTTTAATGACTGGTAGAGTTCCGAGTGACTGGCGGAGGGCTACGGTAGTCCCAATATTCAAAAAGGGGGCAAAATGCCAACCTGGGAATTACAGAACAGTTAGTCTTACATCAGTAGTGTGCAAACTGCTAGAGGGAATGATTAAGGACTATTTAGTAGAATTTGTTCAGGCTAATGGTATAGTTAATGACAATCAGCATGGGTTTAGGAAAGACCGTTCCTGTCAGACTAACCTACTGACTTTTTACGATGGGATAAGTAGTAGACATGTGCGATTCGTTTCGTTCCGAATCGAAATTCGGACGAATTTTCGGAGATTCGGATGCTCCTGAATTACAGCTAAAACGAATGCAAACGAATCCGAATTCTCGATTTCCCAAAATTTGTTAGCGGTAGTCCGGTCGAAATTTCGTTTATTGGACAAAATTTCGTTAGCAGCAAAGTGACATTAAATTTTTTTTTTTTTTTTTTTACAGTCTGCAGAAGATTAAGAAAGTCTGCAGAAGATGAAATTCGTTAGCGGTAGTCCGGTCGAAATTTCGTTTATTGGACGAAATTTTGTCAGCAGCAAAGTGACATTAGAATAGTTTTTTTTTTTTTTACTGTCTGACCCTCCCCTAAGTTAAAACAAAAAAAAAGTGCGTGGGGTTCCCCCCAAAATCCATACCAGAGCCTTACCAAATATGTGATTGCAAACAGCGTTTCTGGAAGCAGCTCCCCGTCCTAATGCTGTGGTGTCATTTGATAGTAGTTGTCGGCTCCTTACAGATGTCAGAACGAAGTACCGCTTACAATCACTGCTCAGACAGCACTCTCTGGAAAATCCCCAGCCCAATGCGCCGCAATGTTCACCCGCAGTAGCTTCAGCATCTCGAAGCTCCCCCAATCATGACATGTATCAAAGGATCAGAACAGAAGCCCTCATTGTGCAGTAAGATGAGGAAAGTTTATTAAAAAATATAGCAACTTACATTTAAAACTTGCCGGCCGGCAGAAAATGCCTGCCGGCAGATAAACGGTCAGATTCCTTCGTGGACTTGTCTAGCACATAGGTAGCATCAGTAAGATCCACCTCAGACGCGTTTCATCACACTGACTTTGTCAAAGGATGGCAGATCCTGCAGGACTGCAAGCACAAAACAAATCCAGTTGTCACCAGAGCAGACATAGAGGGAAAAAGTTGTGGACACATTTTTCTGTGACCACTGTCTGAGAATTAATTTCCCTTGCTTTGGGTTCCTCTCAGTTTCTGCTATGGCTTCAGGACAGGAAGTGAGGCCAGGTTCACACCTGGGTGATCCTTGACCGCACGGCAATTGTGCACAAAATCGAGTCACGGAGTCGCATACCACCGCTGATCGCGCTGGCAGTGCGATCAGCGGGCAGATCGTGCGGTTTCCTGCCATGGTTCCACCCGTGCAATCACGCACGATCGAGGTTGAAGAAAACAAGCGGTACGTGTTGCAAAACAGGGTATTTTTTCAGCAATTGCCGCACGGATGTAACCCCATTGAAATCAATATAGGGCAGCTCGGCAACCACTGTGTGCAACCACACACGATCGCCCGAATCTGCACCAGCCCTAACGGGAAATCTTCCTAATAGGACACAGATTACAAAAACCCTGGAAGCAGTATTAACCATTTCATACTTTTGGCAAAATTAAATAAAGTTTTGTTTTCAGATATATTTTTAGCAGACTGTAAGGTACATTGGCATTAATAACTACAAGTGTGATATCTCTGTGCAGATCGACGTCTATCAGAGCACACTGACCGAATGCATAGTACGGATAAAGAACCTGACTAAACGTGTGGAGATCATGGAGAACGGAGGTCTCTCCTACAATGAGCTGGATTTTGAACCCATCAAGTTGGAGATCAAAGAGATGGAGACCCTCATACTGCAGCTAAAAGCATTATTTGATGGCTCCAGTGCCATAATAGATATTCTCTACCAGCAGGTGAGACAAAACTATGTCTTCTCACAGTAGTGTAAGACCCTTGTTACTTTTACTTAAATTGTTCATTTTACTAAGAGCAATGCTATTTCTGTGCTTTAAAGTGGACCTTTACCCCCTTTGGCTAAAAATCACCTCAGCATGCACCTGTGGTGATGTGCATGGTCACATGTCCTAGTCACATGTGCCAGAGTTCCCCGAAGTAAAGGGAGATGGATTCATCTGCCCTTAGTTAAAATGGCCAGTGTGAGAAGAAGAATGGGGAGGAAAAGAAAAACAAGGTATGCAAAGTATAAAAAGCTGTCAATTGTCTAGAAGTATGTGTTTGTAGTTTGTCTTTACTAAACATTTCTTAGGCCTTGTTCACACCGAAAGCATGTGCGTTCCAGAGCGGTAGCTGCTGGAACGCACCGCGATCGCTGTGAAACTTCCCCCTGCGTTTTTTAATACAATGCACCGCTTCCACGCCCCCCTGCCCGCAGTGCAATCGAACGCGTGGCTAAAACATAGCCAGCGTTCCGTTCCACTGCAAGCGCAAAAAATAGGGCAAGCCCTATTTTTTTGCGTTTGCAGTTAAACGGAACGCTGGCAAAGTTTTGCCACGCGTTCGATCGCACTGCAATGCACCGCCACGCCCCCTCCCGCCCCAAAATGCTGTGGGAAGTTTCACAGCGATCGCGGTGCGTTCCCGCACACGCTTTCGGTGTGAACAAGCCCTAAAGGTGCCTTTGTTTTTTTTTTAATATATGGGTAAAGTGCCTCTTTAACGAAACCTGTCTTCAAACCTTTTATTGCAACAAAAATGTTCCCATAAGATGAGCATTTCATGTATTTTCTGTGTGTTATTTACATGTAAAAGCTTCCCTTGTGTGGACATCCAAATGCTCCGATACTGCTTCTGGGTGTCGTCATCTTGGATGTGATGTCAGCAGCCCCCGCAGACTCAGAGATGTCACACAAGTGACACTCCATAGTATTCCCCTTTGCTTCTCCCCCATCTGCTACATAAAAGGTTTTGTAGGGAGGTAAGGGGAGGTGTGGAAGAGCTGGGCCAACACAGAAAGTAATTAGACACTACAGGAAAATGAGAGGGCTATGATATGCAAGAAGGCAGGGGCATTTGAAATACTTGATGCTTTTACCTGCGATTTTGTAAAGTTTGTGACAGGGTCTCTTTAATAATATAAAGTGTATGTGTGTGT